CCTATTTTAGTGAATATTAAGAGGCTAACAATGAGTATAGCGATTTTTTGCTTCATATCTTCTATTTTTTCTTTTTCTATTATTTTCTTTTTTGAAAACTTATTAAATTATATCTATTATCTACTCATATTAATTTAAATATGTGATTCTAATGTAATATGATACTTTTGAAATATGCATTGATATGACATTGTAAAAATGAGCAAAACATCAGTATCAAATGAGCATACATAACTTACAAAATGCAGATTGATATGAGAATTGTAAGGTTTGTTAGTTGAACATCACGACATTTTAATTGAGCATCAAAGATTCGCTATTGAGATGAAAATCATGGTTTCTTGTGAATGAGCATTAATAAACTTTTAATGAGCATCAATTCTATTATGTTGAGTATTACAAGTTTAATATAAAATACTCTGTAGTACATTTAAAATGCATTGATATGACATTTATAGAATCAACATATGGTCAATATCAGATGAGCATATGTATCAAACCTCGTCTATTAGGGCATCCTCATTGGTAAGATTATTATGAAATTAAGTTGGTGACATGGCAGGATTTTTAGAAAATTATCATTGAGTGACATAGATTATTTAATGGGATTATTTGCTACAATAATCCGGGATCAAAATATGAATCCTGATTATTTTAAGATTATTTGAAAAGTATATGTAATAGAGATTAATTCAGGACAGAGGAAAAACAGATTATTTGAAAATGATGATTGAGAGACGTAAACGAATTTTGAGATTATTTTAAAATTAATTGCATAACAATATTTAAATGGTAAGAATCATAGAAAAAATTGATTATTAGAGATCATGAATGGAGACGCTCTTAGGGCATCCTCATTGTTAGGATTATTGAGAGATCAAATTAGTGACGTGGCAGATTTTTTAGAGAAGTATCATTGGGAGACATTGATTATTTAATGAGATTATTTGCTAGAATAATCCGGGATCAAAATATGAATCCGGATTATTTTAAGATTATTTGAAAAGTATGTGTAATACGTTAATGTCGGGCGGAGAAAAAAGCGGATTATTTGAAGATGATGGTTGGGAGGCATAAATGGATTTTGAGATTATTTAAAAATTAATTATGTAAGAATATTTCAAAGGTAAGAATGCTAGAAAATATGATTTTTACGGGATTAAGAATGGTGATGCTCTTAAGATTGATGAAAATCATGATTTTTATTAAATGATCATTAATAAATATTTAATGAGCATCAGACCTATACAAATGAGCATATGCAAATTATATCATTTAGAAAATGAGTATATGATGAGTACCAGATTTCCAACATAACTTAAAAATTGAGTATCAAAAGAATTCAAAAACGCATTTATGGTGCTCATCACTTTGGTCGTTGCGCTCATTTGAATTTAATATAAAACTCAATTCTATTGTGCACAATATTTATTTTGTGTATTGATATGACATTTTAAAGATGGCTGGGCATTTTCATCACAGAACTCGACGAAGATAGTGGTGGCAGACTGGCAGAGATTGACGGTGGTAGAAGATGCAAAGCTAGAGGGTGAGAAGGAAGAAATAAGAGAAGCAAATAAAGAAAGAAGAAAAGGGGGGAAGTTGCAGAGAATGGGAGGATGAAGAAGAAAGAAAACATTTAATAAAAAGGGGAAAAAGAAGCTCTAATGCCACACAGACGGCCATATCAGCGCTTATAGGAAAAAAAAAGCCACATTGACATCCACGTAGGCTGATTAACCGGAGAAACCAGTCAATTACCGGAGAAAAGGCATATTTGAACATTTTTTGACAGTTGATAGACTTAATTGATTGAAAAAATATTATGTGGACTCAATTGACTTTTTCAAGTTAGTAGATGGACTGATTTGAAAGTTTTACCATAGAGAAATGCGTTCTCCAAGACAAATCATCGAGCCACTCAATCTAAAATTCTTGGATTTGAAGCCTACATTTATTGCAACCTGTTTTGCCCACAGATTCGTCACAACTCCTTGCACCAAATGAAGACCGGATCCATGAATGACCTGTGCTTTGGGCCTGAAGGTCAAAAACAGCCAGCCTTTTGTAAAACCCGACCCGTTTTCTAAACAACACTTTGGGCGGGAACACTGTTGCTTTTTCATCCTCCTTTTGTATAATACGAGTAGAAGATTAATTGAAAGACCAGCCTGCACTAGGTGTTTTGCCTTGTGCCACAATGTTTTCACAATTTTGGTGGAAACGTTGAATTGTCTGGTTGTGTTGGTCAATAAACCCCTCTGAAGTATAGGCCACTTAAAATCGGTTAACATTATTTGTTCTAAAAATCGCTCAAGGCGCCCGACTAGTCCCCGCTTAGGCTAGGCGGTGGTCGAGCGCCCCAATTTTAGTCTAGATGCTCCGACTAATTCGTTTGGCGCCTAGTTGAATCAATCGGTCGTCTAGGGAGCCTAGTTGACCGGCTAGATCGCTTAATCGGCCTCCTATGGTGTCTAGATTGACTGGACATGTTTTTTCTTTTTTGACTTAAGAAAGCATTTGAAGAAAGCTACTAATTGTAGGTATAACATAATATAAAATGTGATAACTATATCATTCATACATGTTAATGTTTATGTGTGTGCATATTTTTATGCACACTTGAACACAACATTACTAATCATATTTACGCAAAAATATTGATAAAACTCTAATTTGTATGTCTCCGACTAGTCTCCGCCTAGGCGTCCGTCTAGCCACCTAGACGCTAGGTGTTAGACTGACGCCCGACTAGCGTCTAACGCCTTTTAGAACATTGATATTTTCAGTTATTCTTCTTCTTTACACATCACTTTGTTTAGGTCATTTTCTATTCATATTCATCGGTGCAACTTCTCCATGGTTTTGTGTTGGTGCAAATTCTACCCCGTTTTGTCTTTGTCTTGTTTCAGGTTGCATCGACAGAGAATGTCCATGGAGAGCGGCAAAATGGACCTCACTCGATCGGTGGTGGCAGGTTGAGATCCAAAACTCTGATATGGACTTCTGCAGCAACAACTTCCATGTGATGGCCAGAAAAGGGGAGGGGTAGATAGGAGTAAAGACTGACACTAATGTGTAGTGCATTTATAGAAACGAGTGCAAAGTTTGTAAATTGGATGGAATATGAAATTTTCCAGGAATAGTAATGTTGGAGGGAAAATGGACTTTGTTTGCTGATTTTGTATCGTGTACGAGAGTTGTAATAGAAACATTGATATGATTGCAAATGATGTTTTCTCTTTGAATAGATAAGTGTTACCCTTTTTTACTATTCATTTACCTTTTTCATTTTTTCGGCTGCTACATCTCATCAAGGGTAGTATTGCAAAGTTAAATACGGAGTATATTTTTTCCAACGTAAAAACTTTGAAGTCAAATCTGAAAGTCAATTCTGAAACGGAATATTACTTCAAAGAATTAAGTTAGAAAATAATCTTAGGAGAGAAATGAGAATAAATTTGGATCATTAGATTGTTTTTGTGAACTTGAATGTACATTATCGAAAACTAAAATGTGCATTCAGGGGTGGACTGGGACCGGTCGGACCGGCCATTGTGCGGTACCGGACCGGCCCGATTGATCGGGACCGGGCCTAGGACCGACCCGGGGGTGTTTTGGAGGCGGGCTCGGACTGCAGCCCTCTTGGAACCGGCCCGGCCGGTCCGGGCCATAAAATTTTTTTTATTTATTTTCTCGAACGGATTGGGTTGAATTGGATTGGGCGGGGTGGTTTGGGAGTGTGGGGGCAGGGGGTACGACTAAATAAGAAAATAAAAAAATTACACCCGGTCCCGGTCCCGGCCCGGCCCCGGAAGCTACCCGGGCGGTGGTGGACTCGGGTCAAGCCACTCGGCCCGTGGACCGGCCCGGCCCGCTACTGTGCGGGACCGGAACCGGCCTGGTTCTCGGGTCTTGGTCGGGCCTAGGCCCGGGGGGCAGGTCCGGGCTCGGATCTTACAATTGGCGAACCGGCTCGGCGGGGGTCGGGTCCGGGCCAAGTTGTTTTTTTTTTTCTTTCATTTTTTGGGGTTCCACCCGGGTTGGGGTTGATGGTTATGAGGGGTTTGGGGGGTTTGGGGGGGTGGGGGGGTGAGGGGGGTTAGGAAAGCAACAAAAAAAACAGAGGCCCGGCCCGGACCCGGTGGCTACCCGGGCCGGTCCCGGTACCACCATTTATGAACCGTCGGCCCGCCCGGGCCTAGGCCCGACCCGGACCCGGCCCGGCCCGGCCCGAGTCCACGCCTGCCCGGGCCGGTACCGGACCTCCAACTTCCACCCCAATCCGCCCGTGACCCGACTCGGGCCCGGTCCAACACTATGTGCATTAGATGAAGCCAAAATGTGCAACACAAAAAGTACATCATAGTGATATTATGTGATTGACATTTTTGTGCCTTATTCCGCACATTTCAATTTCTCGTAATGCACATTTGAGTTTTTCCTTTTATTCTACACATTTCAATTTCATTTAATGAACATTTCAGTTTTACCAAATGCACAATTCAATTTCATTTAATGCACACTTCAGTTTTACTGAATGCATAATTCAATTTCATATAATACAATTTACCACTCTCTCACTTCATATACTACGTATTTGATACTTAGGGGGTGTTTGGATCTGATTCTCAAAACTGCTTCTGCTCCTTCAAGGAGCAGAAGCATAAACTGGAGTGTTTGGGTGAAATTTCAGAAGCACTTCTGGAGCTCTAATTTACTCTCAAAATCAGTTTTTTTAGAAGCTGGGGGTACCAGCTTCTGAAAACTGATTCTGATTCTGCTTCTGCTTTTAAAAAAGAAGTAGAAGCAGAATCAGTTCCAAACACCCCCTTAATACTCCATCCGTCCCCCCTAACTTTGTCCCGTTTTACCTTTTTCGTCCGTCCCATTAAGTTTGTCACATACCATATTTGGTAATATTTGGATGGTTACAATTCATTCTTACTTTATTCACACTTTATCAATTCGATAATTCAATGTCAACCACACAATTCTACTTTTTCTTAAAACCCACACCACACCCCTTTGTTCCAAACTTAGGGGAAGGAGTTAGTAATTCATATTGTAATGTGGAATATCATTTTTGTATTCTGTTCGATTTTTGTATATCCATACAACCCAAACGATTTTAGTAAACATTCAACTTATGATGAAAATGGTAGAAATGAAAAGGCAACATAATGATGTTTGGTGTAACTAATTGATTGCCTAATGGCGAATGAGGGGTGAGATGATGAGATCTAACAAACATAAACATTAACTAATCCAAACTGAGAACCAAAATGGTTTCTGAAGATTCTTTCTAGGCAGCTAATTAGTACTCTTTCTGGGAGTAATTAAGCTCGTTTCAAGAGAACCACCATTATCACCATCACCGCCAATCCCATGAATGAAGCTCCGATTGCCTTGTCCACACCACTCACTTTTGCACTTCCGTCGCCGCTTCCCACTACACTGTACCCTCCACTGAATATATTTTCCAGGTAACCAGATAAGCTGTTTATCATATCTACCACAGCCACCTTGATATTCTTGAAGAAATCGGCAAACCCACTCCCAGTATGTGCTGGCTCATCTATGCTTTTTGATGCAGCTTGGTATGGTGCCTCATTCTCCCCTACAGATTCCTCTACTCCCACATTGTCTCCGCCGGGATGGCAAGGACCTGAGGTTTCAAGACGTTGATTGACTATAATAATAACCAAATCAAGAAGTAGGAGACTAGGAGAAGAGGTTATTAAATGACTTGACAATTTCCCCACATTGTGTACCCGATAGGGTGTTGGAAATACTTTTCAACAAGATCACAAAAAATACTGGTAATAAGGAATACTATTTTAGGTATTTTGAATGAGAGAACGGTACAAAAAGGAGAATACACGAATCTACTTCAAATACAAAGATTTCAACAATATAAAGAAGACTGCATCCCCTCTCTTTTTTGGATATACTTTTGAAACAAATAATACACTTTTTATGTGAAAAAAACGGTCTAAAGGAGAGATGGATTGATAAATAAAGGCATTAATGAGAAATAGGATAAGAGATGGCCTGTTTTACCGCTTTTGAATGTTGTAAGGAACTTCTGCAGCTCAGGATTCACCATCACAGCGCTGTGAACATTTGGATCACAAGCAATTGAAGCAACAACATTCTGGAAAACAACATACCAGAGTCGGCATTTTAGAGTCTAATTCAAAGGTTCCATGTTGATTGAAGAGGAAAAAATGGTAAACATCACAGGCAAAGGTAAAGGGTCACAGACTCAAACCAATCTATACATAATCAAGGTAAGGAAACACACGTTTTTGTTCTACAGAATTACAGAGATACAAGTACTTTCCTATACAACATCCAAACCTTAGTCCCAAAAGAGTTTGGGGTCACTAGTACTATCATATACGGAGTACCTAATTAAGAACATCGTTAGAACAGCAAACAATTAACAACATGTCAACATCAATGGCGCGAAACAAACCTGAGCAGCAGAACTTTCACATAGTAACATGAACGCCTGAAAGGCATTTGTTGGTGCTAAGCTCTTAATAACTGCTGTTTCAGCATTAACACAAGATTTAGTGTCCACGTCATTCGAATTTGAAAACAGATCTGCACCAGTGGCTCTAGAACCTCCAAATTTGTTTTTAGGAGACAAAAACACGCTGGAATGTAATTCATTCAGGCAAACATGTCAATTAACCCAACACGATCACTACACATAAGCAAGAAGTAATACACAACAACAACAACATCACCCCACTGCCGCAAAGGCTGCCACCTCCAGTGATGGGGTGAGGGGGTCGGATGTACACAGCCCTTACCCCTATACTAAAGGGGGAGAGACTGTTTGGGGATGAGGATGAAAATGGAGTCGAAAATTGCATGAAGGCTTCATAACAAAGAAGCAATCTGACAACAATATCTACTTCTCAACACAAGACATTCAGAATACATAGAAAGTATGGTCCGGGAAAAATCATTAGTCATACATCATAAATGAAGTTATTATTCAATATATCGTAAATAACATGAAATTCAAAGTGGAAAGGAACAATTTTACTTCTCAATAGCCTCTTTGAGGTCAGAGGTGGCCTCTTTGGCTTCCTGGAGAGTAGGCGTGCCGGAAAAAATGAGCCGTGGAGGTGGCCCCTCCTCTACGTCTGGAAATTCCCAGTCATCAAACTCCGAACAAGGCATCTGCACGGACGCGCCATCCACCGCCGAAACAGGGAGCATAAGCCCCTTGGCATCGTCCGAAGAAGAAGATCCGGCGAAAACGGAGACCGGACGAACGGCCATACGCGCAGCGGCACATACTGGATGGTCCGGCACGAATCCTCGAACGCTGTTAGCAACGCCGATCCCGGCAACCTTCGCCGCCGCCTTCATCGCTCCTCCGCCACCCATACCGATCGCGGTTTTCTAAGATGCGAAAAATGATTGCAATTCAGCTTCTCAAGGGAGTGGATGATCGCGGAGAGAGTTAACTTATCAAAGTAGATAATACGGAGTCACCGGAGTGACGCAGTAGCGTACGACGCGTGTGAAACGCGCACTTTGGCGGCTGATATTATTATCCTTAAAATAAAGCAAGACTTAAATACTTCATTCATATGCTTTTAGAATGATTTTAAAGACAATTACATTTACATCAATCAATCTATCATACTCCCTCCTTTCCCAAAATGTTTGCTAAATTGACTTTTCTTGTTCAATGATAATCAACTTTGATTAAAGATATTTTTTAATATGAAATTATTTAGAATAAGAATTATATCAAAATGTGCATCATTCAAAATACTTTCATAAAAGTATAAAATTTATAAATTATATACAAATATAATAGGTAAAATCTTCGTCCAAAGTTTGTCATCATTGACCAAAAAAAGTCAATATGACAAACATTATTGGGACGAATGTAGTAGTACTTTGACCGGCACGAAAAATAATAAAGTAGAAATTGTGTAAGTGAGATTTGTGCAGAGGAAAGAGAAATAACAGGAACCACAAATAATTGATTAAAAGGAAAAATTACAAAGTTAAAGAAAAGATGACAAAATTTTAACGGACGGAGAATTATAAAATTAGTACACAAATCACTAGTTCTTATTTCCTTTGCACACTTAGACCAGATCATATGATCTCATGTGCTGCTATATATAAAAGATAAGCATTGAATCATACTAATTGTAGTTTTTTTATGATTTTATTACACTATCAGATTGTCATGATGAGTACTACCAAGCCTGTTTGAGACACTTCTAGGTTGAGTATTTTAGTTAAAGAATGTCAGGAAATACTGCGTCCACAAAATTTTAGGTTAAAATTCAATCGAGAAATTAATTAAATAAATTATTTAAAAGCAGTGTTTTTTATATGAGGTGTGGGCGCACTGTTTTTTAATAATTTGATTATTTCAATTTCGAAATTAATTTTAAACTGAAATTTGAGAACTTAATCATTCTTATAAAAATGTTATCAAACAAAATCAGTGTTCTAAAAGGCGCTAGGCGCTAGTCGGGCGGTGACTGGCCGCCTAGCGCCTAGCCCGCCTAGGCGGGCGCCTAGGCGCCGACTAGGGCGCCTAGGTGTTTTCCTTGTATTTCTTTGTTTTATTTTTATTTTCATTGAATTTTAAATATATTACCAAAAATTTTATAATATTTTGACAATAGGAATAACTCATATAATCATTATATATTATGATTTTTGTAGAAAAATTATAAATAATAAAATAATTAATAGATGAATGTAGAGATTTATATTTTTAGTCTCTAAAAATGCACATATATATTCTATTTTTTTTAAATATTTCAAAATTATTTTATTATCATAGTAATATGAAACTAATCATATAGGAATAGAATACTTATTGATCAAACGTTGTTTTAAGTCAAAACGGGAAAAAAAGTTGGCTCGGGAAAAAAAGTTGGCTCGGGAAAAAATTTAATTCAGACCGCCTAGCCCACCCAAGTGCCCGCCTAGCCGCCTAGTCGGCCGCCTAGCCCGCCTAGGCGCCCGACCGATTTTTTCGACCGATTACACCAAATTCGGGGCGCCTGGCCACCGCCTAGCGACTAGGCGGCGCCTAGGCGGGCGCCTAGCCCGATTTTTAGATCAATGAACAAAATTTGACCCGGAAGCTAACCAAGCATTGATGTTAAGAGTATGTTTGGCACAACTAGCTCAAAAGATACTTTTATGAGCTTTTTAATAAGTGTTAGTTTTTAGTGACTCAAAATATCTTAAAAAGAAAAGGTGGTAGCTATTTAATAAAAAACTGAATGTTTGATTTAGTTCGGTTTGGTATACAAGATTACAAGCTGTTAGGACCTTAGTTTTAAAAGGCACGAGGCGGTTTGAGGCGATTTCATTGATATACCCGAGGCACTAGGCGGTGAGGCGTGCGCCTCACGGATCTCAGCCACATTTTTTTGGTGAAATATATTTTTAGTACTTCTACATGAAGCACTCTTCTAAAAAATCAAACTATTAAACAATCTTAATAAAATATATATTTAAGACAATACGACAGAAGCAAGACATATATGTTTAAAGGCATAATTGCCAAAAGTCAAATCACAAGACTCAATAGAATTTAAATACTCAGTTTAAATACAGTAAGAACTTAGTAATACAGTAAGAATTTAAATACAATTTGGTAAACAGTTTGATTCCAGAGTAATACAGTAATGCAGTAAGAACTGAGTATATATGTTGTAGTAAAATATAGTCTGATTCCAAACTGAGTATCTGTTAATAGTAATTTAATAATTAATGGAATAAACTGTTTTATAAAAAATTTCTTAAAGCTACAATATAGTCTGATTCCAAATTGTATATTGTTCAAGCATATTAATGAACACTGCTCGTGTTCATAAGTCTGATTCCCTGCCAGTATATAACATGCTTGAATATAGTCAATATACCAGTGTAAAACAATATACAATTCTTAAAAAATTGTTAATAAACCAGTGTTCTAACACTACAATATATGTTATATAGTATTATGATATTATCATTGGCATATAATATGTAATAAACTAATAAACTATAAAATAATACATATTTAATTAATAAACTATCACACAAATTCAATTCTGTAAAATTATACAAACAGATTTGTAAATATAAATAATTTAAATAATTTTACAAATATAAAAACTAAAATACTTAAAAAACTTACAAACTTAAAAGACTTAACTTTTTTCCAATTATCTATCAAAACTTATAAATAGTGAAAGATAATACTACGTATATATCAGTTATCTAACTTTTTATTTAAATAATTTTAATATTTATATAAATATATAAATATAACAAACTTAATATAAAAGAGAATAAATAGCAGAGGACAAAAAAAAGGTAAAGAGACTTACCTCTATGACGCGAGATAGCAGCGAAAGAAAAGTCGGAAGACTCAAACGCGAGATACAGCGGAAGCAAAGGAAAAAAATGGAATGGGAATCGGCAGAGTAATTTCATCCGACACTTCCATTAGGTGCGAAAGACGCTCGCCTCTCAGTAGCGCAAAAGGCGCTAAAAAGCGTGCAAAGCGCTCGCCTCTGAGAACCTGAGCCACCTAGGTATGTAAAATGTGATAAACCTGTCGCTTGAATGTGATAACCTTTTTTAAACAAAGGTTAGGACTAATTAATACTAAAAGTTACGAACTTTTTCAGATGCTACTCTCGGTAACATCTTAAAAAAGATCTTTTAATTTTTAAAATTTTTTTATCAAATACTCCCTCCGTCCCCAATTAAATGTCTCATTTTACCATATTGGGATGTCCCTATTTAAATGTCCCATACCTCATTTGGTAAAGTTTGTGTGGCTCAAAATCATTCTTACTTTATTCTTACTTTATTCCTACTTTATCAATTAATATCAACCACACAAACTCACTTTTCTTAAAACTCGTGCCACCTTCTTCCGGGACTTTTAAAAGGGGACGGAGGGAGTATAAAACTAGAAACTTTTAGAAACTTTTTCAATAATACAAAAATTAAAAATTAGATAGAGGGACTTATGCCCGCCGTAGCCTAAACCTAGACAAAAAAAAATCAGTTTCAACTTTTATGGCGAATCATCTTCCCATTTTAAGGGAGTGTTTGCAACTGCTTCTGCTTAAAAAAAAGCACTTTTGGAGAAGTAATGAAAAAGTGATTGGTAGTAAAAGTTGATAGTGTTTGAGAAAAAAGTGATTTTGAAAAGTAAAAGTTGGTAGTGTTTGGTAAAATAAGTGCTTTTTGTGTAATAGAAAAGGGAAAAGCACTTTTCACACGCAAGCCGAGAAAAAGTAAAAATTGGTAGTGTTTGGTAAATAAGTGCTTTTTAAAGCCAAAAGCTGAGAAGTGCTTTTTTTTAAGCAGTTGCAAACACTCCCTAAAGCACACTCCGTTTGTGGTGAGCTAGCACTGGATCTTTGATTTGAATGGATGCAAGGCCAGAGCTTGAAACGGGTCGGATCATTTCACAAACGGTGCCACCCTGTTGCCATCAGCCCTTTAACGGCTCAAAGATCAATTCTTTATCAAACCCAGAACACAGAAATGGCGACTCAATCCAAAAGACGATCCATGTGCCCGGCATGCTCAAAACCGACCCGCCTCTGCCTCTGCACCCGCCTCAAGGTTCCAAAGCTCCACAACTCCATCGCCGTCACAATCCTCCAGCACAGTTTAGAGAAGAAGCACCCTCTCAATTCCACCCGAATAGCATCCATCGCCCTCCAGAATCTTAGTGTGATCCCAGTTTCCGATGTCAATTCCCAGGCCCGGTTTTTAATCCGGCGCTTGTTTAACTCAAACCTTGAAAGGTCGAGTAGCTGTGAGGCCTGTGACCAACACGTCGTCGGTTTTGCAGTTGACAAGTACGGCACAGTTCTATCTTTCCAAGATGTTTGGATGATGGAAAATGGGTCACCGCCAAGATGTGGTTTTGATCGGTTATTGGCTTCAAGAGAAGCTGTTGATGATCTGGGCAAAGGGTTTGTGGTGAAAAAGTTGCAAACAAAGCCCTTGAGGGGAGGCATTGGGCTTGAGGGGTATGTTTGTTTGGGCCTCACAATAAATTTCTAGAGCAGGAAAATAAGTGCTGAGGGTTTATTTTTTTTACCAACACTGAGTAAAGATTATATAAGGAGTATTTGTATACAGGAAGTATATATGTTGATATATTCCTTCCCATTTTAATCCTTCTCTGATTTTATCCTCTTGTCTTTCCTTGACAAGCATGTTGAGAGACCAAGACGAAGAAGAAGAGAATGAAGAATTTGAAATTAGAGTTGGTGCTGGGTCAGTGTTACTTTTCCCAAGTGAGCGAGCAGTGAGGGTTGAAGATCTGAGAGGTGTTGAAGTGAGGAATTTGGTAGTGTTGGATGGGACTTGGAGTAAAGCTAAGAGAATGTACAAAGAGAATCCATGGCTGAAACTGCTGCCACATGTGAAGCTTGATGTGTTGGATGGGATGAGCAGCTTGTATGGTGAAGTGAGGCATCAACCAAAGGAGGGATACTTCTCCACCATTGAGAGCATTGTGTATGCACTCAAGGCTCTGGGCGAAAAAGATGATGAAGACTCAAAGGGCGGCTTGGATGATCTGCTCGATGTTTTTGTGTCCATGGTTGCAGATCAAAGGCGATGCAAAGATGAGAGATTGCGCCAAGCCAACCAAACAAACTTCTTGTAGTTATACTCCCTCCCCTTCCTCTGTGTTCCTATCCATCCAGCATGTATAATGCTGCTGCATCAAGTTTCTTTCTTTCCTTCTTTCTTTTAGCCTTTTAGGTAACATTTCTTTTTTTTTTGGGAACCCTTTTAGGTAACATTTCGTCCATTAACTACTTTTTTGTTACTCCCTCATCCATTAACTAGTGTCTAGTTTTCCATAAAATTTGATGATAGGGTCTTGCGTCGTATTGATAATATTGAAAGGGAAACAGTCTGAATCAGAATGGATCAACGTAATTACAAATAAGAAACTGAGAAAAACATGGATGAAGGATAAAAGGTTTTTACAGAGTCCCCACTCTCCTAAGGACAAGCCAATTTCCAGTCTGCCAACTCCCAAATGCCCTGCCCGCTATAATCCCCTCTGCGCCTACTCTCACTGCACGTACCCACGTCCTTGCACGTTCCCAGGTGGCCAGGAGTTAGTTATTAGAGGCGTGATCCCCAATAACTGGTCCTCCCATATTTCTTTTCTTCTTCCTGATATACACTTTGTCAAATTTACCCTCCGTTAATGTATCATTACCCCTCCCTACAACACTCACCTTGTCCTCAAGGGGAAAGAAAGGAAATTCCTGCTTGAATTTAGTCACCAGCTCCCACGAGTTCTCAAATTCAGGCAAGCCTTGCCACTTGATCAACACTTCTAGCTCACCCTGGGCATTTGTTCTGAGTTGCTTGACAGCTTCTGGTTGAACTTCCAACAACCAATCTTCATTCATACAAGCTGGAAGGGGTTGAAAATCTGCTGTGGGGGCGATGGCCTTCTTCAGGAGGGACACATGGAATACTGGATGCACTTTACTGTCTGGGGGCAGCTTGAGCTGATAAGCAACGGCTCCAATCTTCTTTTCAATCGCATAAGGACCATAGTAACGAGGGCTCAATTTCTGGTTGATGCGGTTAGCCAAACTCTTCATCTTATATGGCTGGATTTTCAAGTAAACCATCTCTCCAATCTGATACTCCACAGGTCTTCTATGCTTGTTAGCTTGAGCTCGCATTCTATCTTGGGCCTTCACCAACTGCTCCTGTAATTCCTTGAGCATGTCATTGCGCTCCGCTGTTAATCTGCTGACTTCATCAACCGAAGAATGGTGAACATCACCTCGGAAAAGCACCGGAGGGGGTCTGCCATATAGAGCTTCAAATGGAGACATTTTGACAGTCGAGTGGTAGTTGGTATTGTACCAAAACTCGGCCCAGTTGAGCCACTTGGGCCACTGGGTAGGTTTCCGACCTGTTAAACACCTGAGATAGGCTTCCAAACATCTGTTGACCACTTCGGTTTGTCCATCAGTTTGGGGGTGGTAAGCACTGCTGTACTTCAATTTAGTTCCCGCTAACTTGAATAATTCAGCCCAAAAAGTACTCAAAAACACTTTATCTCTGTCAGATATGATGGACTCCGGAAAGCCATGTAATTTCACTATTTCCTTAATGAAAGTTTCTGCCACACTCTTAGCTGTATAGGGGTGACTAAGTGCAATAAAATGGGCATACTTAGTCAACCTATCTACCACCACCATAATCGTGTCCACTCCCATAGCCTTAGGTAATCCGCCAATGAAATCCATTGTGATGTCGCTCCATACCTGTCGGGGAATAGGTAGTGGTTGTAAAAGTCCTCCTGGGCTGAGAGTTTGATATTTATTGCGCTGGCATATCTCACAAGACTGCACGTAGTCCTGAATTCGTTTCCGCATTCCCTCCCAATGCACAAGAGCAGAGACTCGTTTGTAAGTTCTGAAAAAACCAGAGTGGCCTCCGATGGCTGAGTCATGTAATTCCTTGAGTATCCAAGAAATTCGGGGTGAATTTCGTGGAACCACAATTTTGTCCTCCTTATACAACCTGCCTTTCTTCAATTGATACCCGGGATGACTGGCTGAGTCACCTAGCAGATCCTGCACAATGCGTTTCAGCTTATCATCTGCTTGGATTTCGTCTTCTAAGCCCTCCCAGATTTCACATCTGACAGTAGACAATGTTGCAAACTGCATTTGTCTGGACAATGCATCCGCGGCTCTGTTCTCTTTTCCCGGCCTGTATTTAATCTCAAAATCATATCCTATAAGTTTAGAAACCCATTTCTGCTGCTCATCTCCCATAATCCGTTGCTCAGTCAAGAACCGTAAGCTCTTTTGGTCAGTTAATACTTGGAAATGCCTTCCCAGTAGATACGGTCGCCACTTTTGAATAGCAAGGACAATGGCCATCAATTCTCTCTCATAGACAGATTTTTGTTGAGATCTATCAGAAAGAGTTTGGCTCATATACGCAATGGGTCGGCCTTCTTGCATAAGAACCGCCCCAATCCCCTTCCCAGATGCATCAGTTTCTATCATGAAGTCCTTGTTGAAATCAGGTATAGCCAATACAGGCAGTGTAGTCATCCTGGTTTTCAACAATTCAAAGGCTTGTTGTGCTTCCTCATTCCATAAGAAACTATCTTTCTTTAACAACTGAGTCAAAGGCCATGCGATCTTACCATAGTTCTTGACGAATTTCCTGTAGTATCCAGTGATACCCAAGAATCCCCTCAATCCTTTTAAGTCCTTCGGAGTAGGCCACTTGAGCATATCTTCAATTTTTCGGGGATCAGCTGCCACCCCTGCCCTGGAGATTAGGTGACCCAAATATTCAATTTGAGACTGTCCAAAACTACATTTCTTCTTATTGGCATATAACTGATTAGTTCTCAGCAACTCTAGAACTCTTCTCAAGTGTTGGACATGCTCCTCCATACTCCCACTGTACACTAGGATGTCATCAAAGAATACCAAGGTAAACTTCCTCAAAAATGGCCTCAACACTTGGTTCATCAATGCTTGAAAGGTTGAGGGTGCATTGGTCAAGCCGAAGGGCATGACCAAATACTCATAATGGCCCTCGTGGGTCCGGAAGGCTGTTTTGTGAACATCTTCCTCTCTCATTCGAATTTGGTGATAACCTGATTTCAAATCCAGTTTAGAGAACACCACAGCAGTTCCGAGTTCATCTAATAATTCGTCAATGATAGGTATGGGAAACTTATTAGGTACCGTTACCTTATTGAGTGCCCGATAGTCGGTACAAAACCTCCATCCGCCATCCTTCTTCTTTACCAACAAAACTGGACTGGAAAAAGGGCTAGTGCTGTGCCTCACAATGCCGGACTGCAACATCTCCCGTACCAGCTTCTCAATCTCATTCTTTTGGTAAAATGGGTATCTATAAGGCCTGATATGGGGTATCTCAGCACCCGGTTTCAAGATAATGGCATGATCATGTTCTCGATGTGGTGGGAGCCCGGCAGGCATGTCAAATACATCCTGAAATTCCTTCAACAATTCAGAAAAAAGAGGATCAGTGCTGATAGTATCACCCCCTTCCTCCTGCTGCACTATGAAGCCCACACCCTTGTCTTGCAATGCCTTCCACAAGGCTTTCCAGGAGGCTTGCCCTGCGCAGAGAGATGGATCACCATGGATGATGTACTTCTGCCCATTCCTGGTCCATTTAAGGCTCAAGTTTCTGAAATTTGCCTCTATGTTGCCCAAACCAGCCAGCCAATCCAATCCCAATACCAATTCTGTTCCCCCCAGATCCATCAGATAAAAGTCCTGATGGAACTCTATCCCTTGGATTGTGAAACTGACATTGTTACATACCCCGGTGTTTCTGATTTGTTCCCCGGTTCCCACCTCCACGACAAAAATTGGCGTCTCAGTGATTTTCAGTTTCAAAATCTCAGCAATCTCCGGGGACACAAAACAACTAGTTGCACCCGAATCAATCAAGGTCAGTATTCGCCTGCCTCCAATCATCACCCATACCTTGAAGGACTTGTGGGTAGCAATCCCTGCTCTGCTTTGCAAAGATAGATGTAGAGTTTTAAACTCTTCTACAACCTCGCATTCTTCAAATTCCTCTTCGTCACTACTTCCTCCTTCACATAACATCAGCCGCAGGTGCTTCATTTTGCAGATATGCCCTTTACCCCATCTATCTCCACATTTAAAACACAACCCTTTCTTACTTCTTTCTTCTAGTTCAGCTTGGCTTAGTGACTTCCCTTTCCAGCCTTCTCCTCCTTTACCCCCAGTATACCCATCCTTCCGGTCAGCTTCCTTTTTGTCTTTGTTGTTATCCCACAGACTGCGAAACTTAGGAGTATAGGTCCTGTCCTTGGTCTCCATCCTTTCCTTTGCGCCAATACCCTTCCCAAACAGAGCTTGGTGCGTCTCTTCAACAACCAAAGCTTGATCCATTAAGTCTGCCAAGTCAGTGATCTTAAACAGCTGCAACTCCGCTCTAACTTCATCCTTGAGACCATTTCTGAAGATGCTGGGAAGTAAGGCGCGTTCCTCCTTCTTCAATGGAGCTACAAGGAGTTCAAAATGATCCCTATAGTCCGCAACAGTCCCTTCCTGCTTCAACCTCAATAATGGGCCCATCGGATCAATAAATGCACCCGGGTTAAACCGCCGCAGCACCGCGACTTTGAATTCCGGCCACGTTCTCTCCACCGTCTGCTCTTCCCACCATTGGAACCAATTAAGGGCCCTTTCCTCCATAGCAATCACCACTGCGTCGAGTTTTTCCTCCTCCTGCAGCTCGTTGACCCGGAAATATCTCTCGACCCGGACTAGCCAACCATGCACATCGTCTCCATTAAACACGGGAATCTCTAGCTTGCGACCTCGTGTCCGCCCTTGATGTTCGTACCCTCCAGATTTCCCCTGCGGTGAAGTTATTCCACTTCCGCCTGGTGAAAACTCCCCTTCGTCCTCCCTCGCACTACTCTTCCTCTTCGCGAAATCTCTGAACTCTGCGTGAAAAGATTCCATGCTCTCAAGGATCTGCTTCACTGATCCTTCTAAGTTTCCCACACGTAGTTCCATGTTGTCCATGCGGTGCTCCATCCCGCCCCTGGTCGCTACCATCCACTCGCAGGATCACACGCTCTGATACCAAATTGATAGGGTCTTGCGTCGTATTGATAATATTGAAAGGGAAACAGTCTGAATCAGAATGGATCAACGTAATTACAAATAAGAAACTGAGAAAAACATGGATGAAGGATAAAAGGTTTTTACAGAGTCCCCACTCTCCTAAGGACAAGCCAATTTCCAGTCTGCCAACTC